ACTGTGGTGGCAATAATTTCATTACTCTGCGTGGTTGTTTTGGTTTTTTTTAGTTGAAGTGACACTGATTTGTGAGGGGAGGAAAAAAAGCTCATCTCCTTCAAGTTTCTCTACCCGCTGACCTTTCACTCAGTAGTTTTCTACTGGTGAAAGCAGCCCAATCCCAAAATAGTCTGTTTTTAGTAGTTCAGACACAAATTTGCATTGCCTGGTTTCCTTTGGGTTCTACCTTATGTGGACAGTTGAAAAGGCTTTTATTTCCATAGGGTTGGTTGTTTTGTAGGAGGAAACGAGGTGACTCCCAGCAGCAAAAGGCAGCTCCAGCCTTGTGCCTCAGGGCTGACTGGTGTGTGTGAAGTGCTGCCGATCTGCTGGTGTGACTGAGGAGCCTGCTGTGCTGACACTGAAGTTCTGTTAGGTGCACTGCAGCTGTGGTTGAGAGTTACAGCCAAGACTTGCAGTCCTGGGGCCATTTTGAGTAGTGCTGGTGTTTTTACAACCTGTCCTGTGAGTTCTGTTGTAGTTTCAATACCAACTGCAGCACGTAGCCTGCTGGGAGCATCGCTGCCTGTAGTGAGAGCTGCTGGCTTTGTCTGAAGGGAAATAAGATCTTGAAAATCTTAGAGCAAATCCTATTACATCTTTCGGAAAAAATAATAATAATAATAATAATAATTTAGTAATTAATTAATCAAGCTGGTAAATCTTGAAATATAACCATCAGAGCCCAGTAAATTTCACAGCTTCTCTTGTCCCACTGTCTGCTTTCAACAGGAGCTCTTTGCAGCGACTCCTCCAGGCCTGCCCCCATTCACCTGGGGTGTCTCTGCAGGCTGCAAGCAGTGTGCTTTGAAGCCAGGTGTGGGTGGCTGATCTTCTAACCTTGCAGCACTCCTTTGTGTGGAAGTGCATCTCATGGTTGCTCGGATGCTTTCAGCAGGAGCAGGTCAGTAAGCCTTCATCCCAGAGCTCTGGAGGACAGGCTGTTAGTTGGCATCCTGACGTAGCACAGGGTCAGTCAGCACTGCAGTGCTCAGGCATCCCTTGGATTGGATTTGTGGGATTTTGCAGTTTTGTAGGTGATGGCTGTCTCATTTTTACACAAAGGAATTTCTGGGGCTGGAGAGTTTGATTTCCAGCTGAGACTGGAGTGTTCTAACCTGGTAGAATCCTGCCTTGTGTATGCCTGGTGTCTGCCACTTATCCCACTGCACGATTGCAAGGAATCAAGTGTATTTGAAGTAGCAGAGGGCCATCTTTTAGTGGGTACATGCATTTTACGTTTATATATTCTGCAGTTTTTTCTGTTTGTTTTGTGATACTGTTTGCTCTAGTGATATTAAAGCAAGCTAAACACGGCCATTTAAAGCAGTGTAACCATATTCATTGACTTTGCTTTCTGAAATGGTTTAATCCTGCAGTGACTCTCAAGCCTGGTGCACGTTAGTAATAGCAATATCCTGATGATGTTCTGGGCCAGCTGGAGAAATGTCCTTCCAAAGCTCCATGTGTGCAGCTCGCAGCTTTTCTGCTCTTCAGGGGCTGTGCAGGAGCCCTGCTGGCGTCTGCTCTCTTCTGTGCAAAACTCAGATGGACACAAGGAATGGAGACCAGGCTGTGGCCGCACACAGTGTCACAGTGGCACTGTTATTAGGTGGTACGTCACAGTCCTCATGTTACTGTAGCTGTTCAGGTTACTCAATCGAAAGCATTTTAGGGTTTCCTGTTCCATAGCTTTTCCCATAGCTGAATGACTCTGTGGCTTTGCCTGCTCCTTGCAGACTGATTTTAACTTCCTTCAGCTTCCCTCGTTTCTGTCCCTTTTGCAGCAAAGTGTGCCCAAGGGCTTTAGGGACCTCCAGCACCCTTACAGAAATGCTGCTTACCTGTGAGTTCCTGCACTCTTGTGTAAAGCTCTGCAGCACCCCAGGGTTGGTGTCATTGCTGGGAACATTGCTGGTTGCCACCTTGCTGCCCAGTAGGTTTCAACCAGGTCAGTGTTCATCGTGGCAGGGATTTCCTTCCCACTATGAGATCGTTTTGTTTTGTCACCGTGCTCCCAAAATTTGCCTCTTCCTTTTAAAAGAACCAAAAAAAAAAAAAAAAAAAAATCACTGAGTACCTCTATGAACCCCTGCAAAACCTGTACTGTAACGAATCTGTACAATTTGTATTGCTGTACAAAACTCCAATAAAAGCATTCAAACCTTCTAGGTTTTGTGTTCAACTAGCAGAATTATTTTGTCTCCGTGGATGAACTGAGCAGGATAAGAATGGGCAGAAGCTTTAAAGCACCGCAGGGTTATGGAGAGTCAGCCTTTGCAAATGTTACTTGAGCAGGTTTTTGTCGAGCTGGAGCTCAGAGCTGTGAGCTTCCTTTCCACTGGGTGGTAGCAGCACGTATCTGTGGCTGTCCAAGAGCTGCTTTCTGTTTCAGCGCGGTGAGATCGGATTTGCAGTGGGGCGTGCAGCTGCGGCGCGGTGGGAGGCGGCACTTCCCCTTTAGCAAAGGAAACGCTCCTACGATCGCAGCTCGGAGGAAAGCTGTTTCTTGTCCTTCACAAAAATGTGCTCGCGCTGCTTTAGCAGGACGGAAAGCTTCCACCGAGTTGTGACTTTCATTAAAGCGGCCATGAAAATTTGGCTGAACTCATGGTTAGAATGAGGCTCACGCCTGCTCGGGTCCCAGAGCTTCCTCCTGCGAGGCGGATTTCGTTTCAGTGCAGATCCTCACAATGTTGGTAGTTCTGCTCGCAAAATTGAGCTTTGAGAGAACTTTGCTCAAAATTTGCAGCACAGGGCGTTTCTGCAGAATGAAGTTCGGACCATGCATTGTTTTCCAATCATTCTTTCCCCATTCAGTATTAGTCATCAGCTGAAGCAGATGCAGTCTTGTCTGTGATCAGAGCCCACCTTCATTGGAGCTGCTGGCAGCTGCCCTGAGGGCAATAGAATGGTAAGCAGGGGAGGCTAAAAGCCTCTGGGGCCCAGGGTCTTTCTATAGCTGATGAGCTATGTATGAAAAAGGAAAAGAAAGAAGAGGGTTTGGTTGAGTTGGTGAAGTGGACTGAAGGTAAGTGTTTGCTCACAACAGAAAGAGGAAAGCTGAAATGGTTAAGCCTTGGAAAAGGTCAGAGAAAGATGGAGCTGTAGTGTGGCATTTCATGTAGTTCCTTGCGGTGGATGAAGGGAATGGAAGCTGGCTGGTTGTGTTAGGTCAGGAAGGGCATAGAAATGGGCATGAGAGCAGCACTGCAAAAGGACTGATGTCTTTGGAGGGCATCCCTCTGCTCAGGCTGGCGTAATGAGGCTGGGATGACGCTGCTGCTTTGAATGGTTGCTTTGCTGTCCTTAGTGCTGCTCTTTGGGCACGGGGCAGCTTCCATCTGCTCCACTGCAGCTGAGCAGTCGTTCCATGCCTAGCACAGGGCCTTTGCTGCAGCTCACGGTAATTTGGGGATGTCTGCAGTGAGGCAGTCAGCTCTGAAGTGAGACAGGTCAGGGGGCGGTAAGTGGGTAAACAGGATGTTTTTAGCATCGACTGTTCCTAATAAAACTTCAGATCTGCAAAGGAGGAACTGTAATCGCCTCCAGCATGTTCAGAGCAATATTTCTGCTATAAGCAATGGGTTTTTTTATGCTTATTGTCAGCTTATGTTCAAACAGAGAAAAAGCTGCTTGCAAACACTTCATAAGCTGCCTCATAGCGGAGGGCTCTGCTGGAAATGCCTGCTGTGTGGCAGCTGCACTGGCAGGCAGAAGCGCAGTTCCCATCACATCGCACCCCTTGCACAGCCATAAGCCGAACAAATGATCCAAGGCTGGGCCTTGCTCTCCTGCTCTCTGCTTCAGTGCTGGTTCTGGAGAGCTCTCCATGCCTGGATTTCTTCTGGCAGCTGTTCTGGATGGCGCACGCAATTATTTTTGCACCTCTGTCATGAATCAGAATGAAGTGCAAACATCACTGTGCAGACTGGTGCAGCAGCCAGCTATCTTGACAAGGCAAGGTTTCCTCTGAAAGCCTGATAACAAAGTTTCCCATCCCAGACGTGCAGATACGGATGATTTACAAAGCAGATGATTATTTTATCATTCTCATGATAGAAGAGTTACCATCCGGGTAGGAGCGAGCTGGATGCAGCTCACAGGTTGCAGCATCATGCCAGCTAACCTCAGTACAACAACATTTCCCTGTACTGAATCATCCATGTGTGTGGAGGGCCTGGTGCAGCTGCTCTGTTCTGTTAGCAGTTGTAGGACGTGTGCTGTGCTGGCTGTTGCTCTCTGGTGGCTATAAATAACGGGGCTGCTGTGTGTCCTATTCTTAGAGCAGGATACACATCTCCTGTGCTGAGACAGGGCTTGGAGCCAGCAGAGTCATCTATGAATCTCATTCATAAGCCCTCCTTATTAGTTTCAAGTGGAAAAAAAAACAAAAACAAAAAAACAAAAAATGGAAGTAAAAGATCACAAGCTACTGCTTCGGGTTGGCTTTTGTTTCTGCAGGAGTGCGATGGAATAGTGCCAGCTGTTTGCACACTGCCCTGTGCAATACACGTGGGTTTGTTCCTACAGCGTTGGATGGCAGTGGCTCTTGGTTGGCTCTCATTTCCATCTCCTCGTTGCCCTTTCTGAGGCTCTGCCTCCCTCCTGCTCCCATTGACATCCAGCACAACCGCAGCGATCCCAAAGCGCTTTGCTTTGCTGGCGTGGGATGTGTGGGGGGCATCAGCCCAACTTGGCCTTCGATGGCTCTTTGCATGGCTGTTGCTGCGCAATCTTTGCTATCGGAGCCTCTTCCTCTGCCTGCAGCCCATAAAAACGAGCCGCTTCTGCTTCTGCGGGAGCTGAGCTCTTGCGAACCGGAGCGGGGCTGACCGGCGGATGTTGGGGTTAATGATTCAGATGGGGGCAGGAAACCAGCAGTTGGCTAACGATCCCCGGAGGAGCCACCTCCAGCACCCACACGAGGAGATGGGACAGAAGGGGCCGGCCGGCTGCGGTAAGGTGGGCCGGGCTGAGCGCCGCGTGGGGTCCTGCAGAGGCCTGGGGACGGGCTGGTTTTCCCCCTCCCCGTGGCGGTGAGCTCACAGATCCCAGACTGGATCTGGGTGGCTGCTTTGATGAGCGTTCGGGGTCATCCCTGCAAACTCCTCCCGAAGAGCTCCATGCTGGATGCTGCTCTGCTGCTGCTGCTCACATCCATCGTCTGCTGAGCTTCAAGGTATGGAAATTACCAAATGCGCCCCCTCAGCAGCACTGAGACCCCTCTGGAAGCAAAGCTGAGACTGCAAGCAGGCTTGTCTGTCCTACAGCATTATTTTCAGTATCTCCTGACCCCATCTCCCCGTGGCAGCACAGCTTTTTTTTATTATTATTATTTTTAATTACGCTCTTTCTGCATTTTCTTCTCATAAATCGATGTATTCTGGGTTCCTTCTGTGCTGAGCTGCCCTCACCCCCGCTTTTGGCTCCTGCTTCTGGGACTGCTATACTTTCCATTCCAAAACCCCATCGTTGGCTGCTCCCATTGGGTTTTCCTTCTGGTTTGGGACTTACTGGCTGCTTATGAACGTGTGAGCTTCTTACTTTACCGTGTTTGAGGTCACGGATCTGAGTGAGAAAGAAGAGCCGTGTCTTTGCATTGATTTTCTCCTGTGATCGATGTTCAGGGTGCTACAGGCAGCAAAACTGGGGATAATTATGGGATAATCTTGTGTGGTATTGGCTCATGTTCATTGGAGCTCATTGGAGCTTTGGAGTAGATGAGGTTACTTATGACACAGGAGCACCTACCTGCATACAAGTTGCTTATATCCTAAGTTCCTATTCTGGCATCCCCCCATGGGGAAGAGCAGCACGTGGCTTCAATGCTGCCCAAGACAAGGGAAGCTGGGAGCAGTTACAGGGTATTTCCGTGGAATACATCCTCGTGTTGTGATCAGGATTTTGTGCTCTGTTTTCCAGCTGAGATGTTTGTGCAACTGAATTGTCCAAAATGCTCATCTCTGGGAGTTCATGTGTGGATTCCAGTTGTCCCTTTTGTCCCATGTTCTACTGAGCTGCGTCTTCTGGTGTAAAACAAAGCACGTTCTGCTTGAATAGCTGCACAAAAGCAGACTGTATCTATACCACAGCAGCTTTCCTGAGATAGGTTAAGCGGGCGTCAAACCTGGCAGGAGATGGGGCCTCTTCAGAGCTTGTCTGAAGGCTCAGCACTGTCACTGCTGTGCTCCCCACCACAGGAGCTCCCTTTGGTAGGAGATTTCCATTTCTAAATGGCTTCTGTTGGAAATCTGTGCAACGGAGGCAGACAGAAAGCTGTGTTTCTTTTCTTAGAAATGCTAGAGACTGAGTCGAGCGGCATATTGCATCTGTTCACCAAGCCCATGTGCTACCTTTCATACAGCAAGCTTTTTAAATTAGCTCTCCTCTTCTTTGAGTTTTGCACCAGTGACTCACCCAATCAACCTGAATGAGCCTCCATTTGTTGCGAATCGCAGGCCACAGAACTAACTTTCAGGAAGGGAGGGAATACTTTTGCCTTCCAGGGCATCCTGGCAGATGGATGCTGTCTGTGTGCTGTCTGCTTCAGCAACCTAAAAATGTGGGAGCTCCGATCCCCATGCTGACTCCAGGTCTCCCTCCATGGCTGGTGCAGACAGCCCTGCTGCTGGGGTGACCCTCCTCTGGGTGAAACCCTTCATTTAGGGCTGCAGAGACCAAGGAAAGTGTGTTCAGCCTTCCACATGTTTTATTTCTATCCCAGCAGCAGTGGATAAGTGCCTCCTGCTTGTCGTAAAGGACTCCATTGCCTCCCATCAGTTCCTTTCTGACATAGATGTGAGTTTCCTTTACCTTGCCATCCATGTGCTGGGTACCTGCACCGTGTGGCTTTCCCCATCTGGGTCACCTTTTCATTATTTTTTTAGTTAAATTTTTAAGGGATGTGGATTTTTGGGGGGGAATTAAAGCTGCTTTACCCAAATGCTGAAGTGCTTGCTGCAAAACGTGGCACCGTTAGGCTTTTGAAATGACAGCAAACCTCATGAGGTTCACTAAGTGTTTTTGGTACAGCAGAAATGAGATCTTGTATCTTATGAGAGGAGGTTTTGTAACAAAAAAAAAAAAAAAGATTTTAATTGCCTTGCATTTAGTGTACATCAGGCTGGTGTGGTGCTTATGGTGGGGAGCAGAGGCATGATGCTCCACCAGACACAGATTACAGCGAGGGATTTGGGAAATACCCCTTTTTGCTGTTCCTGACTGTAGAAATAAAGCCACATCTGGAAGGGAGATGCCCTACAGCGGCACAAAGTAGGTCAGTGCTGTCCACATCTTTCAGCTTTGCACAGCTGAAAATGAACAACCCCAAAACCAAAACACCTCCCAAACTGCTTTTACTGGAGCAGCAGCAGCACAGCAGCACGGTGTGCCCCGGCCATCAGTGCTGCTGTGGGGCCACAAAGCTCCCAGTGCTCGGGCTGGGGTCTGTGTGATGCCAGGGTGCATGGCTGTGGCTGGTAGCTTGGGCAGGGAAACGTTATTTATTGCTTTATATGAGTGAAGGGAGAAGGTGCAAAGCAGGGCAGAATCCAGCTGATGTTTCTATCAGAAATATAGATACACGTTTGGGTTGCTTTTTTTTGCCTTGCTGATTATTGAACAAAAAATACGGTCACTGCTGTTTGTGTACGGCATTGAAAGGAGGGCAGGGCTGGTTCCAGGTGGAAATGACAGCAGTTTTCACCACTGTGTTCCAGGCTGGATGAGGCCAGGCCATGGCACAGCCAGAGCTGCTGTGGGCAGCCGCTGCGCTGATGCTGCTTGGGGTGGCTGTGAGTGCCTGCGTCAGGTGCCAGCTCTATGGTAAGGCTCTGCCATGGGCACGGGGACCCTGGGTTGCAATGGGTGGCTGCTTTCCTCCAGAGGTGTTCCCTCTGTGCAGGGTGTGCTGCTGGAGGAGAGGAGGCTCTGGGTTGGGCTGAGAGCAGCCTTTCAGTATATAAAGGGCTGTAAGAAAGGAGGGGAAAGGAGGAGAATCTTTAATAGGGTTTGGTGTGATTTAACAAGGGGGAATGGTTTCAGGCTAAAAGAGGGGAGATCTAGACTGAGTATAATGAAGAAGTTGCTTCCAGTAAGGGTGGTGCGAGGACTGTGCAAGCTGCCCAGATAGTTGGTAGTGCCCATCCCTGTACACCCTCAGGGTCAGGCTTGGGGGGCTGTGAGAGCTGATGGGGCTGTGGGGGTCCCTGTGCACTGCAGGCAGTGGGATCAGATGGCCTTTGGGGGCACCTTCCAACTCAAACAATTCTATGGTGGATGTGAAGCCGCAGGATGGGGCTGGTGGCCCCACTAGAAGTTTGTTCTTCCCTTTCTTGTCTCGGATGCCTGCATCACGCTTTTGCATCAAGCTTTTTTTTTTTTCCTCTCTTTTCTTTCAGCTACAAAGAGAGGAAAGGACAGCAACCAGAGGAGTCAGTAAGTTCCTTTTGCTGTTGTGCTTTGCCCCAAAATCTGTCTGGGAGACAGAAGTCAGAGCTGGACCTGGTGCATGCGCTGCACAGCGCTCAGCCAGGACAGACATAATGTCAAATAATAGCATATATGTATATGTACCACTATGATGTATCTATATTATAGGATATACAGAATGCACTTATAAATACACATCTGCACCCCAGCTGTGCTGCTGGCAGTGCGCGAGGCGATGCATCCCGATAAAGGGGAACACCATCACAAGGAATGACCCCAAATGAAGCAGTGACCACGAGGCCTGTGAGTCAGTAACTCACTGGAAAAAGGTCTGGAAAAGCAGAGAGGGCACGACCCTGCCTCATCCCGTGTGCTCCATGAGCAAAGCAATGCCCAGTGCTGGTGGGGCCACGCGGCAGAGCCCTGCAGCTGCAGCACGAGCAGTGAAGGAAACACCACCATACACATGCACACCCCCTTATTTCCTTCGCTAACAGACAAACCACAGCTTAAATGATATTATGAACAGCAACAACAAAGTGCTTTTAACCCTTGATCAAGGAGCAAGCGTGGTATGAAGGAGGTCAGGTTGCCCAGCACAGGGCTCGCGGTGCCACGGGCAGTGTGTGAGGCCTCACCATGGCAGAGCACTCGCTTTGTCCTGCGTGGATGTGATGTTTTGGTGCACAAAGTGTCACAGCAGGGTTTGTCACCCTGAGCCCATCCCTCTGCCCCTGGGCCGCAAGCACACCTCGACCATGGAGGCTAGGAGGAGACCCAAAGGGAGGCCGTGAGGAAGAGCATCCTCAGGGTCCCTTTGGGGCCATCTGCAGCCCTCACTCTGGTTTCCATGTTATGTGCCCCAAATTCAGCTGATGTGGTGCCTCTGTTTCTTCCAGGCTGGAACGCCCGCAGCGATTTGAGGTGATTCGGTCCTACTCTGGTGAGTAGAACCCTGTGGGGAGGGGTGGTCCCAAAGCCACATAGAAGGCACCTCTGATCCCTCTGGGCTGCTCCCACCAAAATCCATGCTTTCTTTGAGAACGAGTCACTAAAGCAACACAACTAAAGCAATGGGACAGTGAGTGTGGGCTCTGGAAGGCTTCTGCTCATGCTGTGGGAGCGGGGCTGTGGGTGATGCAGTGACTCATCCTCCATCACCTCTCTCTGCTTCCTGCTTGCTGCACACTGACCTTTTGATTTCTGCCCTGGCCAGTGTGCTGTTGGGGTCTGCAGCAAATGTCACCATCCCCAGCCACCAAGGCTGCCCTGCCCTGCCCAAAACAGCCCCAAAAAGTCTTTGTTTTGAGCTGAACCAAGCTTGCAACCCAGCAGTGCATCTTGCAATTGGTGCTGAGCGTGCCAGAGACTGCCAGACTGAGTGAATTTGAGGGAAAACAGGAAATAAGGCAGCAATTAGATTGTGGATCCCTCTGACGTACACACAGTGTGTTTCTCACTGCTTGTTTCCCGTTCTGGCCCTGCATTTGAGGAATAGTTTGGAAGATGTTTTGCAATGCTGGGGAGCCCACAGTGCTGGATGCTCTGTGCTCACTGCTCTCGTTTTGTTCTTGCTGCTAGCTGTGACCCAAAGGCGAGAACGGATCAAGGAACCCAAAAACTTGGCGAGGTAGGTGGAAAGCATGGGGCACATCCTAGCTATAGAAGCACCCACTTTGCTTAACCTGAGAAATCCCCTCCTCCCCATCACCACGCTCAAAAAACACCCTGCACTGATAACTGCTGCATGGCCATCCCCACCCCAAACTCATCCACTCGCATTCCTCTGTGTTTCCTGTTGCCATCAGGCAGAGCTTTTCCTGATGCTTGGTCAGAGCTGAGGTTTTAGCTCTCTTTTCCCTCAAGCCCCAGCCACAAAGGAAGCTCTTTCTTTCAGGAAAGCCCCCGAGGAGCTCAGCACCTCCTGTCACGTTGGCTTTGGTGAGCATCAGCGGCTGCAGATCCGTGCGTAGTGATGTTGCAAAATCCATTTGCAAAACATGCGGGTGTTGCAACTCTTCCAGTAGCTGGGAGCTCCCACTGGTTGGGGGGAAAAACAGAGGCTCAGTGCCCACACCCTGAGCTGTGCTGTAAAAAAAAGTTGGGTGGTGCAGAGGTTGTTGGCGGCCGTGTATGGGGCTTGTAGTGGTCTGCACAGGGACAGCTGATGGGATCCTGAGTGTTACATGCAGGCTGCTTTGCTGCAGCTCACCAGTCTAACTTAGAGCAATAGGGTTGGGCAACCTACAGCCCACCCCAGCCATTCCCCATCTCTGTGCTGCCTCGTAGCCCTCTAACATGCCTGTGCTTTGTTCCAGAGAGCAGTGCTGAGCCCCGCTACCAGAACTTCCTGACAGGTATGTGCTGTGTGGGCAGCTCTGGGTGGCTCGTGATGGCCCTGTGATGGGAGCTGGCCTTTCAAGCTCTGACTTGCTGTATTTAGGCTATGCTGAGCAGCCAAGGAGGGGGGACAGAATGCTTGCAGCAGCCCCTGGCTCCCTCCTGGAGCTTGGCACCAGCCCAGCGAGAGTTATTGCTGCACAGAACTGCACTCTGCTTCTCAAAATAGGGGATAATTCCCAATCTCCCTGCTGTTTTGCAGGGCCTGTCCTGGTCTGCTAGGGCTCCCAGCCCTGCTTAGTGCTGCCTTGCTGGCTTTGGGGCTTGCTGCCTGCAGGGTTGGCCACTGTGCCTATGCTCAGGAGAACTGGGGTGTTCAGGGGTTGGTGCTGCAGTGTGGTGTGTTAATGGGAATCCCTTTATGTTTGCAGAGGACTGCCTACATGGGGATGCTGCCTACGTGTAAGTGCTCTAGGTGCACTTTCCATCTCCTTTGTCACCGAGACAGCTCCTGTGTCACACCACATAGGGCTGTGGCACTGTTAGCCCTTATCACCTCTGTGGGTGATGCTTTGTGGGGTCTGGAGGCCTTGCAGCTGCTGCCCCAGCCTGCTGCTCTCCCTCGGGCAGGATGCATTTGGGTGGCAGAGGCTGAGCACAGCTTTCCTTCCATAGGGAGCCTATCCCACTGGATTACTACAGCCACAACAGGTTCTTCTCCCCACCCAAGGGTAAGGTCTTCAGTGCCCTCCCTTCTCCAGCAGCCAGCACAGCATGCAAAGGACAAACAGCCTCACCTGCAGGCAGCTGCCAAAAGCACAAAGCCCTGCAGGTGCCGAGGCTCCCCTGTGTCACTCACATTTCCCTCATTCCCCTTTTCTCTCTCTGCCAAAGATGAGGACTCACATTCCTACCAGAATGTCGTTATTAGTGATCCTTGCAGCTCTGAGCTGGGTAAGTGTGGTGCTGTCATGTTTCGTAGTGAGCCTTAATGAGGTTTAGCCTCAAAGGCCCAATTTTATCTCATTTACTGTTCAGCATCACCCATCCAAACTCTTCTTACTTGCAGATGATGCAGAAGACTACGAGAACAGCGCAGCAATAGAAGTCTGGAAGGTGCATCAAGCAGAAGGTTTGTCCTCAGCAGCTGCTCATGGTGGGCAGGGTGCTGCTGTGCTGCACTGTGCTCAGGGCCATGCAGGCATCACCACATCTCGAGGTGTTTTTATCCACAATAAGTATCCAGGGCAGTGTGCACATCTCTGCATTGGGTGTTGCTGCGGTGATGGCTGCTATCCCACCTGTGCACTCTCTAGAGCCCAGCTCACTACTGGTGACGTATCTGTGAATTTGCTGAGACAGGTCACACAGTGTGTATGGTGGGAGTGTTTTAAGACTGTCCCCATTGCTGATGGCTGCTTTCCATCCCTGTTAGCCACGCTGTATGCAGAGAGCAAGGATGAGGAGCCAGACTACGTTAACACAGACCCAACGATAGATGCCGTCCTGCTGTCAAAGTGAAGGTAATGGGAGCAGGAAGGCAAGGATTGTATTTTCTCCTTGGGGAACTTGCAGTAGCCCAGAACTACTTCAGATCAACTCTGAGCCACGCACTGCAGGCAGAGCCCCAAACCCCTCTGGTTTGCAGCACGGAGGCAGAGCTCAGCAGGAGACCCCTGGAGCCCTGCTCCTGCTGCATGCTTTGCTCTGCTCTCAGCAGCAAGCTGCTGGCTGCTGATACTGAGCAGACAGTCAAAAGTTAAAGCACTTTCAAAGAGCTGCAGGAAGACTTCACACTGTGCTCATACATACATCTGTGGTGTATGTATGTATGTAACTCATGCTGGTCATCCTGCTCCAACCAGAGCCTGGCTGGGAGAGGGAATGGGACCAGTTCCACTCCCCTCATGGTTTTGCTCCCTGAGAGCCTGCAGGAGCCAGTGGGATTGTCCCTGTGCAGCTCCAGCCTCTGGGATTTACCTGCACAAACTGAGCAGGTCCTGCTGCTCACCACTGACCAGTGGTGGGTAGGCTCCTTGATGGGATCTTTCTGAAGCCATACAGAGCATTTCAGGTTTACTCCCAGCATCCAAAGCACAGCCACCCCGCTCTCCTCATAGCAGCACTTGTTTCAAACTTGAGCAGCGTCTGGAGGGAGGGAGGCCAGGTCACCCTTGAAATAAAATGCAGAGGGCTGCAGCACTCACTTCTATGAGCAACCCTGCATCCACTTCTCTTCCATGAGAAATGTCAGAGATTACATTTCTGTGCTAATTGCAGCATGTTCTGCCTGCTTTTTCCTTATCTCCCTGCTGTTTGCAGGAGCCACGAGACACTGTTTCCCCCTCTGATTTCAAGTGTTCTGCATGAAGTCTGAAGAAGCCCTTTGCCGAGCTGCACAAGCCCACCCAGCCAGCACGTACATCGGGCAAGAGGCGTTTTCCATCCCTCAGTCACATCTTTTCCCCAAATTGTGCCTGAGATCACACAGGACAGGTGTCGTTGAAAGGAAGAGATGCTATGCTTGAAGCCCTGACATCCAACAGCAAGGATGCGACCGGAGGAATTTCTGCCCAGCAGCAAAGCCTGCCCAGCAGCAGTTCCCATGGACATGCTGTGAACTCCTGGTCCCATCTCCCTTCCAGGCCTGCCTGCTGGAGGGAGCACGGCTGCTCTGTTCAATGCTGTCTCCTGCCAAGCGTGAAATGATTCTTTAAATTGCCGAGCTGCAGTGCAGCCAACTACTTAATTTGTCAGGCTGACTCATGCACGGCGGTATTCAAAGGCAGGGATTAGGTTTTGATTTAGTTCCTACGCTCTCCTCCAGAAGCTGTTTCCTACAGGAGAGGAACTGGCAAGGCAGAGGTTGCTTTTACAGCAGCAGTGCTTCTCTGGAGCTCAATGAGATACCAGACTGTTACAAAAGCTAAGGACTAAAGAGGATTAAGCCCTCATCTGCAGCTTGTAATTCGCAGTGTCTGTGGCAGTTCTCCTTGTCTTTCCTTATCTGCTTTATAACGATACAAAGATGCTGCAACGACTGATGAGGTTTGATCCACCGCTGTCAGCCTCACAAACTGCAGCACTGTTTGAGATTTGGAACATCAGTCCTGAAGTGTAACCTCTTGGGCCCTCGTGCACTGGTCTGGCACCATCTTAGCACTTATTTATTAAAATTGAAAAGCCCTCAAAGAAAATCCAGGTTTTTCTATAGTGGTTTGCTGCAATGTGGGTGCTGTATCTCTGATGAAGTGACACAAGCTGACTTGATAGCATGTGTAGAAGTGACCCAGGGTGATGTGTGGGATCCTGCTGGGAGAAAACATCACTCCATGCAGCTTTATTCCTCAGAACCGTCTCAGAACTGCGCTTCAAGAAGGGACACAGCCCACAGCACACATCTCTGGGGCTGGTCAGAATGTGCAGAGAAGTGGAGGTAAGGGTGAGAGCCCTGGAGTGGGAGAAGAGGATGTCAGGTGCTTCCTGCTGTTCGTGCTCAGCTCTATTTTCAGCAGAATTGCTGTGAGTGTGGGGCCACTCTTTGTGTAGCTGCAGCAGCAGGTGGTTTGGTGCTTGGCTTGGGAAATGTACTTGTAGCTGCTACAAATGCATGCATTCCTGCTCCCGCGGGACTCTAGGGACAGAGGATGCAGTGCACGTTGTGCCTGTGCAGCTACAGCAGCCTGCCTTTCTGCCTGCCCCAACCCTTCCCTTCAGCTTTTGCTCACGCTCTGGTTTCTGATGTTTAAATGCTGAAACTTTGCACAAGTAGGGGACACAGCCTCACGGAGCAGACATGCTGGCTCTGCACAGGCTCATGGACAGCCAAGGAAATGAGGAGATGCCTTTGCTACTGAAACAGAGCACCTGGCCCATGAAATTGCCATTGCTGGTGTCTTCTCTGAAGAAGCTCTCACGTTTCACCAATTGCTGCAGACCACAGATTTTTCAGGATCTGCTAGAGGAAAAGGGTGAGCTGCGTTCTCAGTGATGTGCCAGGATGCTGCACCCACTTGTGGTTCATCTCATTCCCAGAGGGAGACATGAAATGCTTGGGATGTGATTAGCAGCAGTTAAAAGATTCTTGGCATGCAGTGGTAGATTCAAAGACCTCCTGGGATGTTCTATCCAATAGGTGAGTGTGCTGCCAAAAGATTAAAATGCAAGATTTACTGCTCCCCTTGCTAAGCAGGGAGGGGGATTAGAGGAATTACATTTTCCTGCAATGAGGTTCCTTCATTGCCAGAATCTGAAAGCTGCCGAGTGTCAGCAGGCAGAGCAATAGATTTGGTGTACATTCCCTCACCTTTGTGGGAGTCCGAGCAAATTGCCCTCCTTCCAATCTCCAGAGCAGCCAACTGCAGAGAGCAGCAAATCCTTCCTTAGGGTTGTAAAGCTCCTGAAGTGCTTTTCAGCCAGTGATCTCATTGTGCTGGAAGATATCCAGGCACTGCTGAGGGAAACTTCGTCGATGTTTTTAGTCTTGTTCTGAAACGTGAGCTTTCTCTTTGCAGCAGGTGAGTACACACACGTGTTCACTGATTAACTGTCCTTTCAGAACTCATTTTCAGGTATGTAAGGATTTCTGGTGCTAAACCCAAACTGTCAGATCGTTGTGTTGCCTGACAGTAATTCAAAGGGCGCTGACATCTCCCTTGGGTACACGTAGCTCTTTTTCCTCACATCAGGGAGACAGCCAAGTGAGCAATTTTCTTCCTGGTTTCAATGTTAGAAGACACATTAGAAATGTAGTTTTGGCCCAGCCACTATGGCTAATGGAGCTGGGAAGCTTTACCTAGCTACCAGAAAGCAGCAGCCCTGCACTCACAGGGAGCAATCAGATTTGGCACAGGAGGCTGATGGCCTCTGACACTGTTCCTCTTCTAAGTGAAGGCGAGTATAACTAAATCCCCCCAGTGCTGTGGAGCATTAATTTGTAAGTGAACTGGCTCTAAAGTGGAGCTGAAAGGCACCGAGCGAATGTGCTGAAAAGAAAGCTGCTCACCAGACAGAAACAGCACCTGTGATCCTCTGAGTTTGTCACTCCTGCGCTGGCACCACCAGAGCAAACTGCTTAGACAAGGGAATATTAGCCTACTGTCTAAATAACGTGCTTTATTTAAGCTCTTGTGGACAAAAGCTGTGATGCAGTGTCTGTAATACAACACTGTAAGTCACATATTTTAACAGTATTTGTGCTAGCAGTGACAAATCACTGTCAGCAAATCAAACTTACCACAGTTTGATTAATACCTAGTGAAAGGAGAATGTACTTGTGGGTGTTGTATCCATAAGAACTGTTTCCCTTATTCCATTCAGGAGCCAACTCAGAAGTGTCTGTGCTTTAACTGACAATCATCTTGATTTCCTTTGTCTTAGAGCTCTGTCAGAGGAGCTGCAGAAAGTCCTGAGGGTGCAATTTAGAATGCTACGTCTTTGCTGCTAAAACTCATCGCCCCTGGGGCTGAATCAGAGAAATGAAGGGTGTAACCAGCTGTGGCTTCTGCACAAGGGCCAGCCCCTGGGCTGATACTGCAAGTAAAGATCAGCTTGGCACTGAAACAACATGGTGTGGGCAACGGGATGCTGGGGGTGGTAATCTTCAACAGGAGGGGTGGAGTGAAGGGCAGGTACCAGAGAGTTGTACCTCTACCGTGCTTTGTTCCACTGCTATAACCAGAATGTATTTAGGTACTTCAAGACAGCTCTGCTTAGAGATGCATATCTGACATCAGATATAGAGGTGGTCACATTAAATTTATATTTGTTTTCACTCTGCATTTCACACTTTATTGCTCCTCTGAGCTCGCAAGGTGGTTTCCAAAACCAGGCAGAGAGGAAACCATGATGCTGTAGCTTTTTTTATTGAAACTACAGTAAAATGACATTACTTAATCTGCACAATGGAGAAAAGAGAATGGAATGCAAATGCAGAGCACCTCTGAACTTACATGTTTTTTAAATATTATAGATGTAGTATCTGTAATAATTAGCTGTCAATCCTAAATAATTAGCCTAAACAAGTCCTAAACAATCAGCATTAAGAAATGTGTACTGTTCTGTACTTGTTTGGTGAAATATCTTCCTTACCATCACACAAAAATAACATCCAGAATGGTGCCTGCACAACATGCCTTAATTGTAACCTCATTAAGGTCTCTTTCTGTGCAAAAACTTTTCCTTCTTGGCTTCAGTGAGGCCACCTCTCATGATTAGTCAGGAGGTGTAATCATTAACAAAGGGATTAAAATTTTGTCTCTCCTGCTGTTAAGTCTTGGTATCGTTGCCATAGGCAGTTTTGTTGAGTGTAATAGATGCCATTGCTCCTCCCTCCTGAGCTGTCAGCCCTCTCCTCTGCCCAAATCACACAACAGGTACAAGACTGCTTGAGTTAAAGTAGATTTTAAAGCTTTATTTGTCTAAATTAAAAAAAAAAAAGCAAGTTAATTTGATGATAGAACCTGGTTCTGGGATTTAGCAAAAACAGACTGACAGAATTCAGGACAAACAGAGCTGCTGACCTCACACACCAGGCCTTCGCCTTCCACAACACAGGTTTCAGCTCAGTCAGGTTTCTAACTTGCTGCAGGAGCTGCAGTCTTCTGACACAGCCTGGCAAGCAGTCCAGCCATTTGTAGCAGTGAGTTCACACCTTCTGCTATCTTCATATGCGTGTAGCCAATTTCCTGGAGAGAAAAACAATGCCAAACCTTCTGTTTTGTCCTGCAGTTTGCATACGGTCCGACCGATGATGCTCCACTATATCCCTCACCCCTAAGAAACTATCTTCAGACTTGTCTGAACTTAAGAAAACCATTTGTGGCTATGGACTATTGCATTCTCACGTAGACTAATTAGAATGAGGTATTTTTTCTTAAATGAACTTTCGTTTCGCCATTTTCTTTGTAAGTTGATCACTGAAGTGACATCTGGCACTTCTGTGGGGTGTTAGACTTTGAATGTCAAGTGACTGCTCTTATTCACAAACTAATAATGCAGGGTAAGAAAGAAAACAGTAATAACAAATACGGTTTTTTTACACTAATAAACAGCAAGCAGAAAACTCTGAGCTTGCCCTGCGATAAAAATCCCATCCTCTTTCTGTAACAGACAAAAAGACCCCATAAGTAAGCAGTTTGATACTAACCTTGATAAATTCCAGCTTCAGATATTCTGGCATTTGAAAGGTTTTACACACACGGAAGATGTTGCCAATCACGTCTTCTGGAGAGTATCCAAGTCTCCACAGGTGGGCAAGGATCTGTGCAGGCAAGAACAATCCCACATTTATCTGCAAAACCGATCATTGGAGTCAAGCACGTTCATTTTTGAGGCAGGCACGTGCAACTGGTGAAACTACTCGTGCTGTTTATCAAACAATTTAACATTCATTCTGTTTAGTGAGTGATTTCATTACTGCTCGGGTTGTTGTTTTTGGGTGGGTTTTTTTGCTTGATGGGTTATTCATCTGAACAAACTCCTGTAAAGAAGAGATTTCACTCAGCAATTCGGATGCATGGTTTTGCCCTATTCATAAAGAGCAAGCAGTGCACACTGAATTCTTCAAATCAAACAGATGTTCTGCAGAGGAAAGTTGTGTCTGCACACAGAACACACAAAACCCACCTTGTATGCTTCATCAATATTTGCATTTATGCAGTGTTGTATCATTTCTTTCACAAGCAGAGGGTGAGGCTCGTCACATACCTGTATCAAACAAATATTACACTTCAGAATACTAGAACATCCCATAATTGAGCTCCCAAGTGTTCTCACCAAGCTTTTATACAGTTCAAATATTGAATCAGAATGTCTTACAATACAGATTAATTACATTTTAAGCTGTATGACACTTCTGATAACATAACAATCCCACTGTGGTAGACTCGATAGCACTGCATGAGAGCACTCAAGTAACAGACTCAAAAGTTACCAGTGTGCAATTTCCCAGCAGTTATGTGATTCACGTGCTTTGAAAGAGCAGGAAAGGCAGAAAGTCTTAGACATGCTGTTAGGGACTGCAAACACTTCCCGCCTTTCAAAAGCCAGGCACACTTCTTTGATTATTGCCAACACTGCTACATCTATCAGTGTCTGCAAAGGGGTAAAGCACAATCAGAGTCACGTATATCTGAAGACAGGTCTCACACAGTTACAGTGTTGGACTTTTACCTGCACTGTTTCACAGCACTACTGACCTTAAAGACGTTTTCACTGTTTATGAAACCAAATCCAGAATATGTGGACTGTAAGTTGTTTAAGGCCTGCAAAAAGGAAAAGAAAGACTTCAGTTATTTTGTGAAGTGCTCTGCTTCTGACTGCACCCCTCAGGATGAAATACATTTCTTGGGAAATGACACCAAATACGAAGTTTTCAAGAGGCAGCATACTAAATGCATGCAGACTGTTTTCCTCAACAAATTCAGTATCTGATTTCCACCAATTCCCTTTTAAGGAGCTTTAAAACGTTGCAAAACCAAGCAGTTTAGTTATTCTTGTGCTGTATGTCACTTCCCCTTTGCTTTATATCCCCAGAGATGAATCTTTGAGAGCCACAACTCAAAGCTGCTTGAACAGAAGGCTTTGTTTCCCTGCCTTCCCTCTTTTACCTGTCTCATATCTCCTTGAGCTGTGAAGATAATGGCTTCTAATCCATCATCTGTATATGGTACATCCTCTTTTTCAACAATTTTCAGTAGCCTGGCAAGGATCTGTGAATCTGTCAGTTTGGTGTAACGCAGCACTGCACACCGAGACTGAATAGGCTCTGAGGACAGAGATGCATAATTAGCATTTCCCTCTTTTCTTAACAACAAACATAAAAACATTTCATTTGGGAAGAAAAAAAGCTCTTAACCACTCTTGATTTGTCACTTTAAGAACATGTAAAGCAGAGCGAATACAGCATCTGCTTAAGCACCACAGTCCTTCATTTGAACCCAAGTGTGTTACATCTATCAAGGACGATTTCTTTTGTTCTCCTGGTTTTCCTGGAATGTAGATGTTTATCCTACTTTAACTGCTAAACAAGAACAGTCTGAAGCTCTACAATGTGTTCACCTACAGGCAAACTTCAAGATTGCGCTTCAGAAAGCAGGACAACAGAAGGGGCTCAACATCTAGTAAACAATACACCAAAAATCTAAGCTGTAGCAGAGCTGGATGGTGATTAAGCCTGAAGAAATCCGCTCTGCAGTCATGCACAGCACTTTTCATGAAAAACAGCTGTTTGGAAGGTTCATCAGCTATGCAAACGTGCTCTTCATTAGCTGTTTTACAAAGCATGAGATGTTTTGGTGGTTTGATTTTCCTGAAGTGCCATGGCTTCTTGCAGTAAGCAGGCTCCAAGTGGTTCTGAGGACTACTTTGGAGGTTACCCAGCAGCATGGGGAGCATGTGACCAGAACCCCCAGGCACTAACAGAGCTTTACCTATGATTTTATCAGAGGCATTGCACGCGAGTGCGAAGCGCGTTGTTTTGGAATAGATTTCCATTGTTCTTCTCAATGCTTGCTGTGCTCCATCTGTCATGCTGAAGAAGAAAAGGAATTGGGACAGATTTTACCCTTCACTGACTTAAAGCTGCAGCCTAGTGACTATTTCTTATACAAGTTTTAGAGTTCGCTGATATCGGACAGTGCTTTGTAAATTACCTGGTATTTTTGATTGGCAAGCCTCAGACTTTGGCAGGCACATGAACCAGTCAGCAGTCATAACCTCAGCCAGTTATTGAGACCTCCATAAAGTTAACATGTAAAATCAAATCAAACTTAAGAGTACTGCTAAGAATACTACTATTTATATGCAGGAGGAGAAGAGTGTCCCGTTTTTATCCAGTGAAATTAAGTGTCCATGTAAGCTAGATTCTTTTCAGAGAAAAACAGCCAGTGAACTGGAAGATGGTAAGATTACACTGAGCTAAATCCCAAAGTGCTTCACCCCAATATTGAGCATTTCCTTTGAATCCATGATCACAACTTAGTATGAGGAATTTTGTAGGAGTACTGTTTAATACACATTTATTTCCTCTCAAATCTTTTTTGATAGCCTGCTCAAAACATCACATACCGTCCAAGACAGCAGGACAGATAGAAAACATTTCACATAGTAGCTGGGGTCAAGAAAAAAAACAGTGTACCTGTCAGCTTCATCGAGGATGATGATTTTGTGCCGACCCTTTGGAAGTGTGACCTTTTGCTGAGCAAACATTTTGATTTTGTTTCTCACTACATCAATGCCTCTGGAACAACAATTGAAGTCATTTATGTTCAGTCGGGTGAAATTCCATAACGGCTTTCATTCAGCAGCCACAGTGGCTGGACTGCTCCTGTGCTCCCCATTCTTACACTGTTCATTTCCGTTCAAAAGTAAGCAGTCAGCTGTGCCAGGACAATTATTGTGAAGCTGTGCTAGCACAACATGGATCCCTTCCTAAACAGTCCCAGCAAAGACTTACTTTTAAAAATAAAGGATTTTATTTTTTTGTTCTGTTTAGAATATGCATGTTATGCCATGATTTGTGGAAGAGCTATGGAACTAAAAAGGCTGGTATAAACTACTGCATTCCTAACCCTCTGTGAAATGTCCTCAAAACAGTGTCTGCTACAGAATTTGGGAAATATAATCAGCCTTTAGTGCCTGATTGCTGCAGAAGAGTCAGTGCCTTCTACACACCTAACATCCTTATCCTACAGTTACTCCCAACTGCCCATACAGTCTTAATTTCTATCGCTTCCCCTTTTTTTTTCCTAAGCACTGAAGGGGTTCATTATAAATAACTCATTCACTTTTCATTAGGAGGATCTTCACAGATGCAGGAAACATAACTCTGAAGTAAATTTGAGAAGACAGTACTACTATGTATTCTGCACTCCATCTGTTTATATTTTTTTACATGGCAGTTCCTGTCGAGTTTATAAAACATCAAGTGATAATATCTACAGTGCTAGTTGGACACCAAAAATCGCCTAATTTTGAGTTGGAAAAACTACATTAAAGTAGTAGGGGCCTTACTGTAATATTATCAAGTTGGCCTGAGTTCAACTAAAAATAAAAATGGATACTTGCTTCTTCATTAAGCTTGATAAGGCTTATTCCTTCTCACCTGTCATTTGAGGCATTCAGCTCCAAAACAGCATCCTTTAATGCAGGGCCAAGCAGAGCACGAGCCAAGCAGAGGATGCTGGTGGTTTTTCCCGTTCCAGGGGGACCCTGGAAATACAATTGCTGATGAGTGCCAAGCCATTTCCTAACCTGTAGTCTCTACAATGC